TATTTGAGGTGGAAATGCTGTTTACACAGGGAGATATATTTAGCCATCCTCTGCAATCTGAACAAGAAAATTATTCAAACTGGATATTCAAACAGTCAGTCAATAAATATTTCTAAACATGTTGACTATTACCACTATCAAACACATCATGGTATTGGCTGAGATCTCAAACCACTTCACTAACAACAAGTATTCAGTAGGTCTCACTGCAAAGAAGATCAAGGGCAAGAAAGCAGACAACAGCTGAGGGATGTTTGGGGCTGTTATGAACGTTTTATGTACTCCTCCATGACAGAGATCAAGCCGAAGTCTCTATCACTCTTCACCTCTCCTGTGCTGTCATGAGGCCCACACATGGCAAGGTGACACCATGGTTTTTCCTGTGGCTTTGGGTTGCCCCAGTTTTTTCCATAAAAGAGGCATTATCATCAAAACTGTCCTTCCCAGTGGGGCTCTGCTCACAGGTGCCTCTACAGAACAGGCACATATTAGGGAGATCCTAATATCACAGCCCTTGCTCTAGCAGTTTAGGCACACATCCAGGAGGCCTCCCTATAACTCTGAGGTGCTACACATTTCATTTCCCATCACAACATTCAACAGATCTGCTGTGGGGCCTGACAGCAGTGCTGGCTGCTGAATTCAGCAGATGCCTCCTTCATTCAGCAGAGAGCATTGGAAATGTTACCACATACATAAGGCCACACAAGCCCTCAAGTTTCTTCACGTACCAAGCCCTTCCTTTGCACTTTTTCAAGGGCTGGTGGCTCATATATAACTTGTCACCACTGATTTCCCAACTTTCCTGTCTTTCTACATCAGGAGAAGGAAAGTGTTTATAGATCGGAAAATCAACTGAAAGCCTTAGGCTGAGTGTGTGAGGGCTAGACAAAGCTACAGCTTTGCATACCTAGCTCTTTCAAGTCCTGCAAGATGAAGCGAGAAGCAGGTGCACAGAGAACTTTTTAAGTGCACCACTGTGCAACTAAAAAAACCAAATAAAACCCTTCATAATTTTGCCTACATATAGATGAAACCAAACTAACTAATGCTGCACATACTGGTTTATTTAACCTTTTTCTCTGCAAAGGTTACCTTCCAAATAACAGAAATCATGAATTTCAGTTGAAAACTTCTTTTTGGCCTTTAATACTAGTCGTCTCTAAATTGAAGTAGAAATTCGACTGGCCTCAGCCACAGCTGGATCTTCTGTGCCCCAGCATATAACCTTATTATCTTGAATGTTAGCAAGTCCTATTCCCTATTGCTTAAACAAAAGAAATGCATGTAGCATTTCAAAATATTAGTTCAGGTCAGCAAACACCTCTTGCATTTCACTCCGACCCCAAAAAGGGTACTGGACAGCTACTTCTGACCATTTGCATAGTCAAAATAAAGAAGGCTGAGGGTCAGACACTTTAATTTCAAATTAATTCTAGGGAAATATAAAAATCAATAACTCTCCAGTATTTGCCATGGACATAGCTGGTGATGGTACAGCCTGATTTCCTCCTCCTTTAGAAGGGTGAGAAGCTCCTTACAACACGGGATAGTTCGTAAGAAAGCAATAGCTGTTAGTCTGTGGGTTTGTGAGGTGGGGTTGTTTTGGTCTCTACTCTTACCCTCTGTACCTACAAGAAATGCTGACAGGTTCTCCCACGTCTGAATTGCAACAAAAATTTTCTTCACCTACGTCACCTACGACAGTGCAAAATGCCACAATCACTTTAGTTTAAGAGACCAGCAGCTCTAATATATTGAAGAAAAAGGTGTCTTTTACTGTTTAAGCATGTCAGAAGATTTCACAGGTCCTCGGGTTGACTTAGATGGACAAGTTAATAAATGTAATTGATTCCTAGGGAAGTCCCACTTCCACCAAATTCACAGATACCTTGAGACTGGATTTCCAGTAGTTTATTCTTCCCTTGGTATGGATTTACTATGACAAGTGCCATTCCATATTTTTATCAATTATCAGAAACTAAAATTAATTGAGAGAAAGACTGGTGAAATAATAAACCCTAAGAAGGAAGTGACAATAACCAGACATACAGGTAAACTTGGTCTATTCTTTTTTTTATAACAAAACACAAAGTTAGACATCTGTGATGAAGAAATATTTGCTATATTTACAGAATGTATGTCAGAAAACACTGATTACAATTCCTGAAGAATGCTGGAAACAGATCAACAAGATGTAAGCAACGCCATAGGAGCCCCTATATAATGATCAGCAAAGAGTGCAGGTATGCAAACAAGGAAGCAGCAGGACCGAAGAGTAACTCTATTTTTCAGGTGACATTAGTGGCAGCAGTGTTACAATGCTGAAGACACACCAATTGGTCACATTTGCAGTTTCAGAAAAAACACAGCGAGAAGGAGATGGACATAAAAAGGATAAGAGAGCAGAAGAAAATATTTTATGGTTAGAATCCATAAGACCTCAATCTGTTCATCATATTAACAGCACTGAGAAGTCACTCAGTGGGAAGGAAATGCCAGCTTCAGAAAGTTTTTTAATCTAGCAAAAGAGAGTAAAAGCATTAAATGGAACCTGAAGCCAAACTAATTACAGTAAGAAGACATATTTATACCAGTGAGAATGATTAACCACTGGAATAAGCACAAACAGAAGGACGTTTTTTCCACCTCTTGTTTTATTTGCATCAAGGCAGGATAACTTTCTGATTAAACCTATCATCCAAAATTCAAATTATACTCTGATTGAATATACTTACTGGCTTAATAGTGACATAAGTGAACAGCCTAGCACCCATTCTTCTAACTTAGTTTAACAAATGAAGTTTTGTTTCTGAAAAAGATATTGTTTCTAAAGGACTAGATAAAACTTGATGTATACAAACAAGCAAGAAAAGAGAAATAAATAACCTATCAGAGCAGCCACGAGGCAAAAAAAAACCCAAAAAACCCAAACCAACCAATGAAACAAAAAAACATCAAACCAAAACAGTTCCCTTTTTCTTTGTATTTATAGCACTCATTTTAAAGGAAAAATTTCAGCAACTCAAAAATCAGAATCAAATATTAGAGGGATATGCTTCTAATTTTTCTAAGCCACATAGCTTGTTTCTTTATGCTAGACAAGCAAATGTTGACAGTGTAAGTCTGGTTGCGTAACAGGTAGAAAGCTCCACTATCAAAATCAGGGTGGGAATGCCAGACAGAGCAACTACAGTCCTGCAAAGCCCAATTAATCAATACATGACTCTGAAGACAAGCCTGACCTGTAGCTAGTTTGATGGAAAGTAGCATGGATGACTTCAAATCTCTACTTACAGGACTCTCTGCTTAAATTAAGCTAAATGGTCAGTGGGTGTTAAAAAGAAACAGAGCTGGGAACAGGAACCAGAATCCAGAAATCCCTCTGCCAAGAGAGTATCTGAATTACTACCCTACACAAACTTTTTTCTTCTCCCAGTAAAAGGTACTGAATATTTCCCACTTCAACCTTGAACAATGTTAACTAAGGAGTCAGGCAAAACTCTGTTCAGCAACCTCAGTTCCCTAGTGATTAGCCCTAAGCAGCTGCAAGCTGACAATGCTCTGTCCTGAGAAAGTGCTAAATGCCATAACGAGGTCTGTCCTTCCAATTCCCTGGTTTTGAACTCTTAAATCCAAACACAACATTCTGAATACCACTTTTGAAGAAAGCCACTTAAAAGTTAAGCAAATAAGGCACTGCATTTGGTTCAAAATATGTATTAGTCCTAAATCTCTGATTATGCCTCCTCACCCATTATTTTCTCCATAAAAAATAGAGTTGTGAAGTAACATTAATGTACCATCTTGCAAGACAGCTGCCAGTTTTTCAGTGGTATTGAAAGTGCAACAAGATTCAGGGTGGACACTGTTCACAGTATATCTGCTTAAGATTGCTAAGTGGAAATACAGCAAGAAGGATGTCTCATAATTGTTGCTCACTGACAAGAAAATTCTACCCTATCACATGTGGATAGAAGAGCAGACAGAGAGAATGAAATGGAATGTAGGTGGAAGGCTTTGATCTACTTAAATTCTCTAAATGCCAGACTGAGCAAAGTATGAAGGGCAACTGTCTAGAAGGAAACGGAATGATGGAAAATTATTTCATTTTTACATGGAAAAATATCTTAAACCTCTCTTGAAAACTAACTGAAAATTCATGTACCGCTAGCAATTGTCACTGTAAATCATGAGACAAATTCTATGATACTTTTTGCCATAGTTCTTTAAACATAAAGAAATAACTGAAGTTCCCAAATGTATTATCCAGAGATGTTTATATAACAAATGTTTTCCATGTAAGATTTTATAAAAAACCCAAAACACAACAAAACCCAACACCCAAACAAAATCAAAATAGAACTCCTGAAGAAATACAAGCCTCTTCCATTTAGAATTTACTACAAATAGAACTGAAGTTTTTCTTGATCTTGCTGTCAAACCTTAAATGGCTTTCATTAGGCATGTAAAAAACTTAACAGAGATGAAAAAGAGAATAGAGCATTCTATCCTTTAGGTATTGCTATGCCTTAGCAACTCTTCGGTCACCAATATATTTCCCGTGAAGGCTGGTCCAATGTTTTAAACATTATTGGTTTAGACAACAAGGAAAAAGAACAGGAACTTCTGAATAAGGTATTATGTTAATCTTCTCAAGCACAGCCTAAGACTATTGTTTCTTCTTTCATCCGCATGTTGTTTAACAAATTTGAAGGTTGTTGCTCTGTTTCTCTTTCAAAGGCAGATCACAGTGAACACGAAATCCTGGCCAGGATCAGATGAGCAATAATAAACTGAGGAACCATGGTCAACTAATTACGAAAACAGAGCATAGTGTTAGGAGTAGGCAATCCAAGGATACAGCTTATACCATTGTCTGTGATATGAAATCCCCCAAAGAGTCAAGAAAATGAGATCTCTGTCCTCAGAATACCATGCAAAAACAAGGGGTATGTTGACTATAGGTGTATAGGGTTTACTATGTTTCAGTTTCCTACCTCTACCACAGTTGTCTTGGCAGCTTTGCACATTGGCTGGTTGAAGTTTCTTGCAGTTTTCCTGCAAAAGAATATAAAATGAATAAATAATGTAAGCTGTAATAGTATGAGGAAAGACTTTTCAGAGATAAGCTACTACAAGTATATCTGTAATATAAACATCACAACTCTTTTCGACAAATAGCTAGAGGACTAATAAAGAAACAGAAAGGAGAAAAAAGTGTTATGGACTTGTGCAAGATACATATGAAATTAAACCATATTTTGTGACATTAGAAAATATTTATTACAGCTCTTTTGACTTTCAATCAGCTCTTTCTCTGATTGGAATTGGGTATGTTACTGATAACTTCATTTACTAGACCCAGGAGCAGCAGCAATCTGGGTTTTGTACAATGTTCCTTCCTATTATTTCACTGCAGGAAGAATGAAATTAATGTCCACGGGGGGGCAGCACAAGGCCTAACAACCTCTAAAATCCCACATATACCTTCATGGTTCAGATTAAGATTTGGGATAGCACTTTTCACAGTAGTAAAGTTAATCCAACTCTTCTGATTGAAAAAGCTATGCCAGTTTTGGCAGTCACTGCAAAACTCTGGCATTCATCCGAAGTATTCCCACACACTATTTCTGTAATAAGGAAAAAGAACTTCTAGGGAATAAAAGTAACACATGACATGTATAATTGTGCTGGGATCTGCACCAAGATTCTAGAAGGCACAAGGAAGAACAAATGAGCTGTGTCAACACCTCTATGTATTTTTCAGAATATTAAAGAAAAAATATTTTTAGTGGGGTTCCACTGATGGCATCTCATTTTTTTTTCTCTTTCAAAATGTAGAATTCTTGAAAAATTTTCATCAAAATCATGAAACTAGGGCTCGGAACAAGCCAAAGCCTCCTTCCCTCTGTCCCCTTTCCACATAAACTTTTTTTTTTCCCCCTGAACATCCTTATTTTCCAACACCTTCTCTTCCTTTCTTCACCCTTCTGCGTGATGATCATGCCTAATGACATAGCTATGCTGAACTTTGGGATGCTGCTGCCCCCTCGTGGCTTCGCGGGAGGTAGCGAATTGAAACGGCCAACTCCTGAGACTACCGTGCAGTTTTAACAGGATTTCTAGAGAAATCTGCAGCGACCTACAGAACCAAAGCTAAACCCAAAGACACATATCTTAGGAAAATCCTGTTTTACTGGCCGTATGCAGCAGCTGTGAAGTCTCCCACGGGGGCTACAGAAGGGACAATATCTTTTGTACATGGGTCTCCTCTGTGTGTAAACACAAAGGGATGTAAACCATAAAGTGTAAAGAGTAAACCATTCAAAAAAAAAAGACCCGAATTTCTATTCTTCTAGCTAGCAGTAAGTTGCCACCTTAAACTATGTAGAGTAGAAAATGAGAAGAAAAACAGAATTACAAAATCTGGAAACAGATGGGGAAGGCAGATGTGACCACTTTTCTGAGCCAAAGATTTTCTCAAGATATTAGTGGCTGGCCTGTCAGTAAAAGAAACTGATGTGAAATTATTTTTACATAGGGGAAAAAAATTACAATAAAACATTTCAATGTCAAATTATGAAGAGTTAATGGGCTTGATTCTGACTACTTATAAAAGCTTATTCAATTTAGGGTTTTTTGTGCTAGTAAAGTTGTTGTAGAAGCAGCAGTCTTCTACAAGATCAAAGGTCTTATTTCTAAAGAATGCACCATGTCATTCTAGAAATAGTCCCATACTTTTGTGAAAGTGGTAGCAGATTTGAGTAAACAGAGCCTACGTCTATCTAGGTATACCTCAGCAAACAAAAACAGAAGTCACACAATAAAAAAAGTATGTAAGAGTCCCATTGGCAGTGAATATACAGTCATTATGTGGCATGACGTCAAAAACACATTTTCCTTTTCATCCTGCAGATCACAGAAATATTGCTGTTACATTATTATCTATTACAATTTACTCCTTTGTTGTCTCCTGCAGGATCTGAGATATACTTCTCTGTTCTAGGCCATCAGGCAATGTGTCTCATCCAAAATCAGAATGGGTCACTGCTTATTATGAGCAAATTCTTTTAAGCTAGCAATACTCAGCATGGAATAAGTCACTGGATGATGATGTTCCCATCTTTGATTAGTTACTTGAAAGAAGGAATCAAGATTTTCAGGACCCTACTCCAGGAGGAAGTAGTATCTGGTATCAGCTGTATTGTGTGAACTTGGAGACATACGAAGACTTCTGAAAGGAGCAGGAGGGAAGAGGAAAAGGCATAAAAAGAGACCAACGAAACATAAAGAAAGGAGGAGGGGGTGGGGGACAGATGCAGCCAGTTTGTTTCTGTGAAGAATGAAAGAATTTTTGAGAGATAAGTGTCAGTATCAGGGGTAAAAGCACAGACTCAAGATCAAACAAAGGTTCAAGATCAAACAAAGACAAGCCCAAGGGGGAAGACTTTCCTGTATTCCATGTCCCAGACCCTAAGGAAAGAAGAAGTTCATGTGCACACACACAAGAAAGTTCAGTTTTCAATCAGAAACAAATAAAAACCAGGCATTAAACATAAGTAAACCTCTCCTGCTTCAGTTCAGGACAAACCAGGGCATAAATACAGCAACTTAATAAATCAACAAGTCAAAACTAGTGATAACATCAGATAAATGATGTTATCACTGGTGCAACACCCAAACTTTTCACTACAAAAGATGTTTAAATTCATATGATGCTTCCCCCTGTATCACCGAGATCATTTTGACTCTACATACAGTTTTCTGGGGGCAGAATCAAGTTTTTCCATCACTGACTGGCCAGGAAACTGACTCTTCTGACATACATAAACTTGAGCTTCTTGGGTCAGCCTTCAGTTGCACAAGAAAAAAGACCCAAACTAACATGAAAATGGAAATTAAAAGAATGTCACTACGTTTCTCCAGAGTCATCATAATGACTCTGGTCTGCTAAGTCTCATTTTTAACTACCAATGCTTTATTTGACAGCTATGTTTGAATTCTCAAAAGTCATTAGAAAAAGCAATTATATTTTGGTTTTAAAGCAGTATAATTTGACAGGAGGGAAAGACAATATGAAAGAAAATGAAATCAGTGAAATATTATTTTGCCATCACACAGGAGACAAGATTCTTCTTCTCTTTCATTATCTAAAATGTTAAAGAATCTTTTCCCATGGGTAAACAAGTCATACCTGAAAATTATGTTGCCTGCACGATCAGCCTTCCATGCCTTCACAAGAGCAAAATCTCCTGTAATTGACTTCTCCAGAATAAAGTGACGGCCATCAAACTCTCGCACCTACAAACAAAAGTATACTTTTGAGATGTAGGTTTCTTCAAACAGATCTCCTGTGTAACATTTGTTTATGGCGTTAATTTTACAAACTATTATGTTTAGACCTCTTCTGGCACTACATGAAGTTTTATCTGAAAAAACTGTATCTCAGCTGTATAATAACAGAGAAGCACAAAAAGGCTATAAACCTCAGTTTTATCGTAGTATCTCTGTCTAGTGAAACTGTGTGAGAAACAGATCCATACTCCTGCTGCTCCATCTGCTGGAATTAGACATGCTTTTTTCTGCACATCTACCAGCTAACCAAAAACTGAAGTGCTAAAGCAGAAGTACTAAGCTCATAATCACTGACCATCACCAGACACCCCAAATATAAAATTAAGTGGACAAAGTGAGACAGAGTACTCAATCACATGTGATGGGTAGAATTTCATTTGGTTTTGTCTGCGTTTATGATCAATGTTTGTAATGATATTGTGCCTGAAGTGAGAATATGTAACTGATGAAACATGTTTCTACATAGAAACATGAAACAGCATTTCTCTTAACGATGCAGAAGGTTAGTATATACACAAATACTTGAGAGCTGGTTAAAATTTCTGTGAGGTGGAGGAAGTATGCCAAAATAAGTCAGGTTTTTGGTCCTGTAAGAGGAGATCTGAACTTTTAAAAATGACAGTTGCATTCAAAATTGATTTGATCAAATTATGCTAGTCACGTTATTAGCCTCCCAAAAGCCTGAAGAGAGTAAGAAAGACTAGCCCACAATTGTTAAAAGCAGAAAAAAATATTGTAAAAATAAGCTATTTAATAAACAAAATGTTCCTTCAAACAGTAAAACATCATAATGACATATTCAGTAAGAAAATTAAGGCAGGGGAAAAAAACCCTAAGTTATTAAATAGAAACTGAAAACAGCCAAATATAAAATAAAAAAAAAACCATGAGGAGGGAAATTACCTTTACCCCCTCAAGACACTTTCTTGAGGTAGAATTTAATGCAGTTTGCAGCCTATTTGGAACATACAGCATTAGCCCCATCCATTTCCTGAAGTACAGTTATGGCACCAAGAATCTATTTTCAATATGAACCCCTTGTTTCTCACTTGGAAGCCACACGTTTTTTTCTTGCTTTGCAACTTCAAATGCTCAGACTAGACTGTCCTTCAACTGGGCAAATGTATTTTCTGGAAGCCTGTGTCAGCTGAGCTCTTCCCCATTTAACAAGAAAACGTCCATCTCTGCTAGTGCTAAAGCTTCATGTAGAGCGGCAGGGTTGCTTACTTCATACCACAGTATTTAAGAAGCACCTGCCCCACTAGCAGGATGTTGTTCTCAATCCTTACTGTGCACTGCAGTGACACGGTATAAGATTTTCTTTGAATATGTAGGGAATCTGGTCAGAAAACTGTCAAGGGAAGAGTAACTCATCACAGCAGGCTTTCACCTGGACCAGCTCTTGATACTAAGTCACTGTGAAGCTGTAAAAACACGCCTAACACATCACAGAGGACGGAAGCAGTGGGAGCAAAACTAATGTGTCTGGTAGCACAGACAACATCCTAATCCAATACACCAAGGTTAAACTTGGACAGGAGGTGCTTAAACTACTGATTATCTTGGAAATATGTAAGAAACTCAGTTTTCAAAGGCGGCGGCTTCCTAGTAACAACTGACATCTTACCTCTCTTGGCTGGCTGGCAATAGCAATGGTGCCATCTGTGTTGTATTTGATAGGAGCTCCCCCTTCCTGCACCAGCGTCCCATAGCCAGTACTGGTGTAAAATGCTGGAATTCCTGCTCCTCCTGCTCTAATACGCTCAGCAAGCGTACCCTATGGGAATTCATATTTAAGAATTAGTCACTTGGAAACAACAAATCAAACTTCATTGAATGGTCAACATTAATTTATTTTTATATCCTGTCATTTGGAGCTTTTCCTTCTAAACTCAGCAGACCATCGCATCTATTTGTTCCTCCTGTTTCAGCTCTCCTTTGTGGGATTGGTACTGGATATGGCAAGAAACGCTTCACACATGGCCATAAATTGCTCAAGAGCACATGACTTGCTGTCAGCTTCCAAGTCCTGGCACTTGTACCTCCTCTCCTTCAGCTTGTTTCCCAGTTCATTACTCTGAGAAGAGTACAAAGTTCTTTTTCTCTTTCCCAACTGGCTAAATACGCAAGAAGGTTTTTGTTTTCTAACAGCCCTACATAAATATGTTTCACTCTCCAACATCTTAAGAAAAACTTCATACCTCACTCCAAGCTGAGTAGGCACACACAGCAGATCAAGAAAGAGAGTCCAGTGATCTGGGTTGCCCATGCTAAGAATACCAGGAAGGTGAGAGAACAGCATTTCTGCTCTATTTGACCACCAAACCTGCGCTCTGCTCTATGTCCAACAGTACTGTGGATATTAACAGCCCAAATTCCTCATCGTCTTAATTATGGACTTACGGCGAATGATATGTCTGTCTGCTTTCAATTAGTATCCTTTCCCAATCCTTCCTTTATTCTTTTTTTATGCATATTTCTGGATTCCAAGCAAGACAAGACTGTCATGGTCAATTACCTAGCTTGACAGCCTCCAAAATGTAGGTTGTATTTTCACCAGTTATCCTGCAAGAAACACAACATGTTTCCAAGCAGCCTTCACCTTTGAAGATCTCACCATGACCTCTCCCTTACAGTGTAACAAGGACACAACAATCCCTCATTTTGCACAAAGTCATACCAAACTTGAAGAGCATTTTCCTAAAGGCTATTTTATCTTGACACAAATATTTCAAATCCCACATATCCTAGCAGGTCATTAATTCATCTGTTTACCATTGCATATTATAGACCCAGTATTTTCATGCTGGGTCTACGCAGCTGATCTGTGCAGTCCACAAAACCAATTACATGTCTAAGGAGTTCAAGGTCTTCTAGATGAAAGCACTCAACATTAAGTAGGAAAAAAGAAAAACAAATTGTGAGACTTGTGACTTTTCAAACATGGGAAGTGACAAGTGATTGGTTATTTCCTGGCTGACTGGGTATAAAAGGAGCTTTTCTGTCCATTTCTGTGATTCTAAGAGACAGTCTCAAGAGCTGGACTCTCTTCTCCATAAAAACACTGGACTGTTGCTTTATCCAGGAGCTTAAAAATAGCTGTTCAAAGCCCAAAGGTTATGTGTCACCTTTGGAAATGCCACACACTAAGCTGTAGGCTTTAAAGTTAAAGCACCTGTTTCACAAAACTAGACCTCAATAGAATGTGACTGATACTCATTATTTTAGCATCTCATTGCATTCAGGCTATTTGGTTAGCTTGGCAGTGTTAAAAATAATTAAAACTATGTTGCTAAAAAGTAAAATTGTAAATACTGGCTGATAACACTACGCAGGGATTTAAGTAAGGTTTAATGACCAAGCCCAAAAAAGTTGTCTCACCATGAACTGAAATCCAATTTGATGTGTACCCACTAGATGGCAGACACTGCACACACAACATCCCTAATGTTGCCAAGCTGCCACCAATATTGCAACTTCACGAGCTCCCCATTTTCCGCTTAAATAGGCCACAGTATGTGTGCTTTTCTACAGCCTGCAAAGAACTACCAAAAATCAAATATTGTACAATAAAATATATATGTGTGTGTGTATATATATATGTATATGCACACATACACACACTCATAGTGAATATAATGTTACTAGCCATAAAAGGAATTCACACAATAGGACCAGTCAACTCTTAACAAACCAGTTGCAGCACACCTCCCATGAGCCTAAGAAGGTGTACAGAGGGTGTACTGGGCTTATGTAGAAAAAGTTTTGGAGGCAGGGGCCTATGGGGGTGGCTTCTATGAGAAGCTGCTGTGCCCAATGAAGCCAAAGCCATCCAGCTCCAAGCTGGACCCACCACTATCCAATGCCAAACCCATCAGAAGCAGTGGCAGGGCCTCTGGGATAACATATTTAAGAAGGGCTGGATGGGGATGGGAACTGCACAACACCAGTAGCCGTCAGAGGACTGAGAATGTGTGTGAGAAACAGCTCTGCAGTCACCAAGGTCAGTGAAGGAGGGAGGAGCTGCTCCAGGCACCCCTGCAGACCGTGGTGAAGACCATGGTGAAGGAGGCTGTCACTCTATTGAACTCATTTCCCCAAGTCAAGTGTGTTTTGCCCGTGACGGTAACAGGTGAGTGATCTCTCTGGGCCCTTATCTCAACCCGCCTTTTGTTACATCTTCTCTTCCCTGTCCAGCTGATGAGGGAGAGTGATAGAGCAGCTATGGTGGGCACCTGGCATCAGCCAGGGTCAACCCAGCACAGACAGCAAATACGCTGTCTTTACTGCACTCAGGCAAAACATTTAGGCTGCAAAATTGTTTTGTAAGAACACTTAAGCACTATTCTACTCAGTATTAGAGAAGAAAAGAAATCACCAGCCTCCTAGAGACACTTCTTACCTGAGGTGTAAGCTCAACTTCAAGCTCACCAGATAAATACTGGCGTTCAAATTCAGCATTCTCTCCAACATATGACGACACCATGCGTTTTATCTGTTTAGTCTGAAGCAGAAGACCAAGTCCAAAATTGTCAACGCTGTGTGGAAAAAGCCAGACAATACTCAGCATTTATAACAGAGATCTGGGATATTCAAAGCACTTGATAAGCTTTAATGACTTAAAAAGATAGAACAAAGGTATCTCCTTCCACTTTAGACATGAGGAATTAGAGATAAAACACAAATTCCAGCTTTTAGGGGAGAAACATCAAAGATACAATTAAAATTTAGGAATCCAATGCTCAGACTTCACCTTTTCCAAGGCACTGAATACATCCAAAACTTCCTTTTAAAGACATTTCACATATAACAGCTACAAATACCAGCTTAACAAGTGGTGTTATTTTTCATACCTGCTCTTTTACAACGCCTTACTAATTAATAAAAAGTCACACATGGCATAATCTGGCTTTAAGTAAACAAAGACTTACATTTTGTTTGGAGTCTTGCTCCTGAGGAAAAAGGCAAGCAATTGCTTAGCAGCTCAATGAGAAAGGAACATTCACATTTATAGTGCTAGTCTGTATACAAGGCAAGAGAATTTTTGTAGTTAAATTTTCTTATTACAGTAAATAATTCTATTTGAAATTGCCTACTTCAGCAAAAGATATTAACATTCAGGTCAAGATATTTTTGTCTATGTCATAATATGACCTTAAACTGAATGCCAAAGATAACACGCTACATTTTTCTTGTCTCAGCGCTTCTAAATTCTGGTATTCTGAAGACATTACTCTCTATTAGTCTTTAGAATTTTTGTGATGTTTGTCACCCTTTATTGTGTACTGATGGGACAAGAACATACTTCAAGAGTTCCTGTGAACCAGGGTAAAAGAACCTATTTCAGTTTGAAAAAACATGAAGTTAAAATACAAAAATGGAAATAATTAGAGATTCTATTGCAAAGACATGTTTCTTTCACATTCCAAACACATTATGCAGGATGCTGGCAGACTGCCATATGTGTGCAGAGCTCCACTACATTTATGTTGGTCTCTGCAAGACATGAGTGGAGAACTCAGACCTCTCACTCGCACTACAGGAAAGATGTCATGGTCCAGAAGCACCTCACAAAAAGTGACGTACATGTACCACTAGGTGTCTCAGCTCAGTATGACTTCGGTACCTACACAATGGCTTGAGATTTCAGCATAAGAAATGTTGAAAAATATCAAAGGAATCCTTTAAGAAACCAAACGCAGTATCCAGCATGCTGTAATTAGCATGCACATGTACTTATAATATATGCATCCTATTGAAAACACTACGTCCAAAGAAGAGCTCCAAAAAAGTTGTCTGTATTATCCCTCCTTATGCATCACCCAAATTACCAGTAAATATATCCCCTAACCATTGCTGTGTAAGCTATGGTGACGGGGTAAAGAAAAAGAATATAAAGGAGGCATGTATAAGTACAGCAATACAAATCTATGCTATCCAGACAAAAATAAAAAACAAAACAAAAAAAAAAACAACAACAACAAAAAAACCCCAAAAAACAACACAACAAACCCTATGTTATTCAAAAAAGGGGAGGGGGAAACAAAAAAACTCAACTTACAAATCAAGATACGATGCTGAGTGAGCTGACATGTATTTGTTTTGCATAATGAAACAGTGTAGATCAGAGGAAAGAACCCACTGAGCCACAACGAAATCTCGTTTAATGTACGTTAATACCCCACCACTTCAGGATCCATGTCAGACATCCGAGCTGCAACCTCTTTTCAAAAGGTGAGATTAAAAAAGTTTACTGATACGTGATATTCATTTTCAAATACTAAAGTGCTAATGATGAATCCAGTTTTACAACAGCACCACTATCCTATTGCTTGCCAGCCTCAGCGTCCCATATCACATGCTGCAGTGCTGCACATGAAGGGATTGAGGCTGAGCAGAGCAGTGTCAGCATCAGCTGTTCACCTCCTACCACAATACTCACAATAGCTGCATAGACAGTTGTGCAATCAGAAAGACTTCTCAACTGCATGCAGAATGAAGACTATTTTAAGGACAGGACTATTTTAAGAAGATAGACCACTTCTATGCATACTCAGGCATTTTAGAAACTGCATGAGAGGAAATGAAACAAGCTTCTCTGACCTGGTTCTCTGAATTTATTCTATGTATTTTAGTTGCAAAGAACTTGAAAAAGGCTTATTACGAAAGCTTGCTCCCCTCTCCAACTCTGACCTATTAATAAATAAATAAATAAATCTCACTCTGATGCAACATTTAAAATGTCGCAGTGCCAAAGCCTTGGGACTAAAATGTGCGTTGCCTGGAAACAACCTATATTTCTACCTCCCCACAGGAAAAGACTCCAGCAGTTTCAAGTGCTGGGAATAGAGAAGAAAGACAAGTCTGTGAGCAAAGAAAGGGATTAAAAAAAAAGAGAATTAAAATATAAATGCCAAAACTTCCTGTATAGGGTCACTCATAGCAGGACAATCTCTCTCACAAGACACCATCAAACTCTGACCTGTCCTCATAAAAGGTAATAAGCAAATGACCAGGTAATATCTGATGGCATTTTAATGGATTTGTATAACTAGAGTACTGTGTAGCAAAAGTATATAAGTTAAAGCTGTGCAGTGCTTTGTAGTGCAGTAACAAGTAGGGGCAGCTTGAACTAGTTACAAACCAGTCTGCTACTTCTGCATATCACTCACGTGGTTAACATGCCTCTTAACTGCCAAATTTCCAGGCTATTGAATAGAAGGAGGCAGACAAGAGATTTCTGCATGCAGAGGATGAAATTCTAAGTGTGTGTTCACATGAGAAAGGGATGGAAACAAAGGGTAAGCAGCAGATTTATAATGGTTAAAGAAATTTCTGCCTCATTTTACTAAGATCTATAATCCACGCTCCTACAGTCTCAGAAGCAGCTACTGTAGCACTGTTCTCAATAGGATTTTGCTAATCATCCTCCAGGATCCCGCATGGATACACCTGATTCCTTCATCTGGTACAGGCAGGTATCTTCTCTCAAACAAAACTTACGACTGTTACAAAGTCCCCTGTAGAAATGAAAGTTGCACAGAAGTTATTCTCTGTCACACTTATCCCAAGTTGTTCTTCACATCTTAAGTCACTCCTTTCTCTTCACCTCAAAGGCTGTCAATTTATTAAAAAATAAAATTGCAGTGAGGACCAGTCACGGGGCACCCAGGTCATACAACCTTATTTCCCCAGCACAATGAGGAGCGGAACTTTACCTTCAGAAAATCATGCACCAAAAGGCTCTGACTGCACAACACCACAAAACTACTTCAATTCCCAGGCACATTTCATCTTCAGAGCAGCATAACAAAATCCAATTGCTGTTACTCATCTTATATATTTATTTTGAGATGCAAATGTCTTAAAAGAAATATAGTGCTATCCATCTTTTTAAGGACGCAATCTTTATTCAACTTTCCAGCTAAAGTAACTCTTTTGCTTTCCATGGTCATCCTTCCAAAAACTCACTCTGAGTATTTCAGACTGTTTCACATTTCCTAAGTTTTTTTCTTATAATAAAATGTTCTAAGAAACAAACATTTTGCATAGCAGTGAAAATGCTGTTGACACTATTATTCTCCCTTCCCTTTGGTCCTCACTTATCATGGCTATCCCAGAATACAAATAAAAAACAATTCCTGGTTTAGGAAAATTTCTTTCAATATAGCATTTTTCATAGCAGCTGTTAGCTACTTGTTCTTCCTTTCCATATTTTGCTGCTTTTGTGGTTCTGTTGGTTTAGGCACAGAAATTTCTTTGAACTTTTCAACTTAAATTAAGTTTATACTGAAAATATTACCCTAAAATATTTGTCTTGCAGGCAATGCCCTTTCTATCAAACAGTAACCATAAAAAGAAAAACAGATTCTTCACAGAGTGTGTGGATGGCATGCATCCTGTATCTCTATTTTAAAAGCTGGATTGAGTCCTTTAACAATTTAAACAAAGGCGAGTGCAATAAAACTGTTGCCCTAGATAGGAAGGAAGAAGGCATAGTGGAAGTTGGTATAGTTGTGTGCTGTAGGGAGGGAAAGTACACCTTAGGGCTGGATAGAGAATGCATTCTTGAGCTCTCATATTAAGATTTCTAGAAGTTTCCTCTACCTATAGTAGGATGAAATCTAAATCAAGACAATACATGAAACATATAGAAAAAGAAAACTAACCTGTCACTTATAGGTAATCCAATTTTCCCATACTACTGGTGTGGACAAGAAACACTAAGGAGGGCTGGTTGATTAGCAACACATTTCTTCCAATTGTTTTGTTCCTTTTAGACCTACGAAACCTTCCTGTCAAAAACTGTCTGCCTTTTCTAATAAAAAATTAGGCAGAGACGGCTTCCAGAAAAAGACTTGAATGTCATGCTACTCTGACAAGAGACATAAAATGGCTTAGGGGTAGGGGTGGGAATGAGTAAAAGGAGATAATTATGCTCTCCTCTCTCTCTGCCTTTATAAAGACATGTATATGTGTCTAAGAAAAATGAGGGTGGTCAGGACAGACTGGACGCCCTTGCTGAGAACACTGAAAACTGATGGTAAGCGGCATCAATTAGCATGAAGGCTTCATTCCACATCTCTTAAAGAGAAGTCTTTCTCTATATTCAGTTTTCAAAGATTCTCCAGAATCCGTACTGGACATTTCTGGGAGATCCCACCAAGAGCAGAAGTTGCTGATTAAGAAAGATTAATATAAATATATGTGTTTTGGAGGATTAAAACATGTTGCCCAAATTGGAGATAACACAAGGACCTAACTGACCTTACTCGTCTCATTATTTGGTGATTGGAGGGATGGGAGGGTAACTATATCACCCCTGAAGACTATGGATTAAGAAAAAATTGTGGTAAGAATCCTGGGGCAAGGCTCCACCTCAGGCAGAAACTCAAGTTTCCTGATATTTGCTGTTGGTGCAGAAAAGCATATTTATAGTTGGTCCTACTCCTGGAGAATGCTTCGTCTAAAGACACTAGTCAGCTTCTGGAGAACCATGAGTAGCCTCTCTAGACATTTAGCAGGTCTGAGTGCTGCA